CTGCTTCCAGCACAAGTGGATAGCTTCGTTGGGTGCAGTCTCCACTGTGCTCTGCACCCCCCTGCCTCTTTGTTGATTTGCCCGGTTTTTGTTTTAGTTGGGTTCTTAGTAGGAAGGCCAGAAGTTACTAGTAGCAGCCAGCCAAACTAGTGGAATCCACGGCAGACTTACCAGGTACAAACCTTGGAAACAGGTGTTAACACACACACATCGATTGTTCATTAATTTACATTGACTGCTTACTTTGTCCTAGCAACGCCTAACAAAATGTCATGTGACGACTGCACAATACTAGCATACAGTATACAACAATGACAATGAATGGTAACGTCCTTAAACAGGCTGGATGCTACTTTCGGCCTACAACAACAAGTGTTGCTGCAGAACCTGCCAAACAGCTGGAACATGTAATTTTCAGTGTGCTCATGGCTTTCCGGACTCAGCACACACAGCGGTCAGCCGCTGTGTCCTTGTTGATTTCATCATCAGCAGCATAGTTTGGTGGATTTCCATGGGCACTTCATGAAGGTCGATGCATCGTGCATGCTGATAGATCTGCGCCATAGATCTTTGACATTCCAGTCGTCAAAACTACTCTGACCAAGTCAATGACCTCCTTCTCCCACACAGCACGGAAACCCGAGAAACCGTCAGAAGTCCATGGAGCCAAGTCTTGTAATTCTTGCTTGGATTGCAATCTGTGGATGCCGCAGCGTCTGGAGAAAATCTCAATGACACCAGGAAGTAGCACAGGAAGCTGCATCTCTGAGCTCCAGAGTCCACTGCAACCGCACCAAAATCCAAATCCAGTGTCCCCCGAAACCACATGGGAGATGAATCACAAAGTCTCTGCGCCACTAAGTGACGTTCCGATGCCCAGGCTTTGAAAGCGAAAGGACAACCGTTGGTGGCTGTTCAGTGAACCGGTCGCTCGTGTCGGTCACGACTATATGCGTCGTGTTCAGGTTCAAACAGCTCAGCTGTTGGTCGTAGAAACTCGTTGGTTGATCAAGTGCAACAAACTTTGCCGATAGAAACTCCGACAGTTCGCCGCAATGCGCCGACTCTCCACCTGCGGTCAGAGAGCTGGGCGTTGGGCGGGCGGATGGAGTCGGGCCGGCTGGTGGATCTGACCATCGATTTCACCAAGTACGGAAATCTAACCATGAAACTATATGCGTTGATTGGCTATAGGCTATATGGGTCTTTGGATTCTCATGTTGCATTTGTGTCAGTCTCGACATGAAGCCTTAAAGCCCCAAATGCCAAATGGACGACACCCTCGGTTGGACATCCGACCTAAAATGCCACTCTGACCAGCGTTCGGTCTGACCGGCCATTTGGGTTCCCCACCAACCTGGCACCCCAAAAACGAAAGAATCATGCTCCCAATGAACAACAACCATAAGACTATACATAAAACTCATAGATTCGATGTTTCAAGTTTCAAGTCTCTGACACTGTTTGAAAAATTATAGACTCCAAAGAACTGCAATGGTCAAACTTCAGACCTGTCAAAAAAGGACTCTCCCGTGCCACTCTTGTTCCCGGCCCCACGGACCACACCCACCGCGGACGTCCTTCACCTCCGCCGTTGAACCATGTTGAACCTCCGGTCGCAGCGGTACCGGTCGTCGCCTGCATGCGAGCGCTCACCGCGCGGAGGTCCACGGTCTCCACGAGGCGCAGGAGCTCCGTCAGCGACGCGAAGGGCACCACGTGCGGCCAACGGTGCACCTGGACGCGCTCGGTGCGGTGGTGGCCGAGGGCACAAAACCGAAAGGAAGACAACGGGGTTTTGCGATGTTTTGAGTGAGTCTGGTGGAAAAACACGAAAGGGTGAGGAAACTGCGAAGGGAGACTATGAGGATTAAACATCTGGACACCTGATGGGAAGATTTGTTACATGAACATGATTCATGATGGCCTTTGACAGTTGGGTTTGCACAATAGTCCTCTTTCAATACATGAGTAATTTTTGCGTGTCCATAAACTATACTCCCTGCTCCAAAAAATGACAGAACAAATTTATTATATCCGAACACAAATGCCAAGAATGTCTGCATCAAAGCTTCCCTTTCGGTTTCTCTGGGAACAGCATCACCCGATTCCCAACATCGTCCCTCTTCAGTTCCCATCCAACGTCCCCTCCGGGCCAGCCGGTCAGTCGCCTCGGCCAGCGGTAGCCAGAACTTCAAGTGTTCCGGCGGATGCCTCGGGCCCAGCGAGTGCACCGCGCGGGCGTCCAAAACGTGATGCAAAGATCACCCGTGATATAATTGCCTAATATGGCCTATCTCGACCACACCGACTTTGTTTTTTCTCTGATAAAATGGAGATATGTAAATTTGCTGCATCTGACTGCATCTGAGATGCTCTAAGGGATTGTAAAAGGGTGGGAACTTCCAAGTGTCTGCTGCGTGGAACACCGCCGCCTTCGCTTGCCGACATCGAAAGAACACAAGGTGCAGACCACGCAATGGCTCATATAGATCTACAATGATGCCTCTTGGCAGCTTCGCTGATGTTAAACACGCAAACACACCCAAACTACTGTAACTCTCTCTCATTCTCTCTCTTGGAAAACAACCCAGTGCTTTGGCTCCGATCATCTCAGCTGAGCAATACTCGTTGATTCAGATCCAAAGCGCTTAAGGCTCCGCCGCTCTTTTACACGACGACGCGTGCGCTCTGGCGCTCGGACCGTCCTGGTCCTGTTGCTTGCTCTCGGGCGGCCTGCAGGGAGAAATTCGGGTCAGAGATATGGTGTCAGATGCCATTTTCGGCAGGAAAACGTTCCTCTTCACAAACGAGTGTTGATGCTTCATCCAGGTGTGGTCATACCTGAGTCACACCATGAAGATGTCAAAATAGAACCCGATCCCTATATATAGTCCTATACGCATCAATATAGTACCGTACCATATAGTACCTATAATTATACGCCGACCTAATATAGGTGCCCACTTTTTCCTCCCCCACCGCACCCACCACCACCGACGCCCCGTATCCCGTCAGAAAACCTCTCGCGCCTGCGTCCGACATCGTGCTCGTTGTGCAGCTGACCCCACGAGGCGAACATGTGCTGCAGGAGTCGTTGATGCCACAGGATCTCCGGCGCCAAGACCGGCAGACCGATGCCATACACGTCCTGACGCCATCCGCCGGATGCAGATCACGCGAGGCGGACAGGATGGAGAGGAGGCGGTTTTACGCGTGGTGTGGGTTGGCCACAGGTGGTGCTTTTCCACACGTGGTCACCGTTCTCGCTCCGCAAAATCAGCGGAGGTGAAAAGCGGTGAAATCTGCGGTCTGAGGCGATGGCTCACAGGCGATCTCCCATTGTCGTCCATTTCTCGTGTCAGTTGGTTCAAGCAAGGGGTCTATGATCGGCTGGACCTATATAGCAACACACACGATCTTGAACATCCAAAGATCCTACGCCAAAACAAGTCTCGCCAAAAGCCAAGAGTCCCGCAAGAGCAACTGCGAAAACTCCGGAGCCACATAGACAGCACCTGGGTTGGGTTTAGTTAGCTTCAGTTCCAGCTGTTGGCAGTCAAGCTCAGCTCTGCTATCTTAGGGTTGCAAGAACTCCTTCAATGGCTTCATTGTTGTACAACACATGTTGTCAGCTTTTGTTGCAAGGTTTCTCAAAGTCTCATGACATAGCGTCAAACACTTCGAAGGAATCAAATAGAAATGGCACTCGAATCCGCATGGCAAACGGAACCAGTTGACCAGTTTACCTAAGACCATATGGAATCCCTGGCTGTGAACGTGCTAACAGGCTCTTGGGCTCTTGGGAGTTTTGTTGCAGCAACTTCCTCCCCTCAGTGAACTCCATTTTGGGACTCTACCTCCCAACACCACCTTCTTTATTTGTAGCAAAACACCACACAATCGTCTCACCAACTCATAAATCATCATATCACTCTCTCCCTAAACCTAAACCAAACCCACCATCTCCTTCTTCCGCCTCACCGTTCTTCCACCAAATCTTCCACCTTCCCCGCTCTGAAGGCACAGGAGTAGGACGCCATGGTCGCGAAGTTCAGGAAGACCTTCGTCGTCTCGGTGCCCCAGAAGTGCCACGTGGTCCTTCCGGTCGCTCCGCTCGGGCGCTTGGTGCCGTCGTGCACGTCGTGCGTCAGGCGTCGGAGCACCTCGGAAGTCTCGGTCAACCGGTCACGTGCGACGGTTGGAGAGGGTACCCGTCGAAGCACCGCCATGGCAGCCATGGCAGTAACTGGAACCCGGATGAGGAAAATGGAACTGGCGAAAAAGGTGAGATGCATAGACCTTGTTTTGGTGCACCGGTGCATATATAAAAAGATGGGTAGAGGAGGCAGCTTGGGAAAGTAGCTGTGCTTGCCTGTGTGGGTGAGCTTCAGTAGTAGAACTCATACGACATTGTTATCATCGCCATCATGACGATTGATCAACCTATCACGACTCAGGACCTATCATTTGTTGGTTCCGTTGTAGATGTTTTTCTTGCAATGTCTTGCTTTGGCGAGCCAGTTTCTCACATTCTGGCCCCTACAAGTACTAGCTCGGAGAAGAGGACAATCTGTTCACTGAACTGTGGTGGTCATATGTCCGGTCAAACCAACTGCTGTGAGGTCAATGCTTTGCAAGTCTTCGATCATGAAACCAACAGCAAGTGAACGTGTATACATAAAACAAACATAAACCATCCGGAATCAATCTAGCTCACCAAAAGGGCACTGCATGTCAATCCTTTTGTGTCGCAAGTAAACACAAAAGAGTCGCCGCTTTGATCTGTTCACAGTTCTACCAAAAGGTGCGGTGCCGACCGTTTCTCGCCTTCCATCCCTCCCTGCCAAGTCTCAGAAACCTCGAAACCTCGGGCCATCGGTCTCTCGCCGAGTGACCACATCGAAGACCCTGCCGGGGGCCAAGGCAAAGAACCCGCTCTTCAGCAGCACCACGCGGCGTTGAGCCGTTGACGGAGCTGCCGCCGCTGCCGCGTTTGCTGTTGCTTCGGCCCCTCCTCAGGCGGTGCGGAGCAGGTGCGAAGGTGAGTTTCGTGGGTGAAATCCATCCAACATCATACAACCAACGGGGCACGGCAAGTAGCATTGAGTTTGTGGCGAAGTGGTGTGTATGCTTTATCATTAGCCTCCTTTTGTTCAACAGCTGGGATTGGGAATGTGATGCAAACTCCGCTAAACTGGCTTCGCTGAGACCTCGCAGGATTGGTCCACGTCTCCATATAGACACGTTGGCGATGAGTTCCCAGCCTGGTGGTTGATAGAGCACCCCAGCTGAATCGGAGGTCCCCGAGGAAGGCACGAAGGGAATGGCGATGCCCATCCTCAGGTCGTCGAGCTCGTTGGGACCCCATCCGAAAGCGAAGGGAGCGAGGGGAAGGGACCTGCGAGCGTTCCTGGATGGATGGATCCATCGATCCAGGTTTAAATCCATCGAAATGTTCTGGGTGGTTTGGATCTGGATTTATCTGGATCCTCTGGGGACACATCAGATCCAAACACTCAGGACTCAGGATGCTTATTAGGTGGATCCAGGCTCCCATGTCACAAGGCCATACATCCAGCTGTTTGCCCCTTGCCCCGGGATGAGGCCCAAGGTGACGCCGCGACATCGACCGATCGACTCATCCAGGTCTCTGCCATTGGAGTTGAAGACCCAACACCTGGTCGATTGCGCTACACCGAGACACCGGTCGACCGCAACACCGCAGCCGTGGCCGTTTTTGGGGGTGTCAGTCCAGTAGGCTTTCTTTTGTCCGAGGAAGGACTAGTTACGTTGTGAAATGGCTTGATCATGCTTGATCTATTTTAGAATCCGCAGACGTAATTGCTAGGAAGTTCAGCTTTGGCAGACTTTATTGGACATGTATCCAGCATCTTTAAGAGTTGGTAGACACACTCAGCAAATGAATGAACAACCACGCCTAACCGCATCTTCTTTCACCAGAACAAGCTCAAACAACCATGTTCCAGCACCACCCAAAAGTTGGTTATTAGATGAAACATAGTTAGTCAAGGGGGTCTACAAACCACCCTTTAGGTGGTGCTGGTTCATTCTTTAGTTTTAAGCTTTCTTGCCACTATCCAGCGGCAAATGGGTGGAAGAAACGACCTGAACGAGCGCCTCAATGTTCACGCCGGCCGGCTCATGCACACCCAAGGTCTTCCAAAAGTCTGCGAAGTCCTGCCGAGACCAAATAACCCAATTGCGCCATCCATTGCCCCCCTCGCGCCCCCCTAATAGTTTCTGATTTGTTCTTCATGACCTGGGAGGGGTGTTTCCTGCATGACTTCATGGTCAATCCTAGACGCACCTTCCAATAGTCTTCCACACCCTGTGACGCTGCTTCCACGCTCAGCGAGTCGACTGCATCTCGGTCGACCTCCCTTCCTGCATCATGGTGGTGCGCCACGAGACCGGCACGTACTGCAGAAAGACCATGCCATACATGTGCAACCTGAAGCACCGGGGCAAAGTGCCAGACGATATGGACTGCCGGGCAAACACACGCCGTGTTTGGGTGGAAAAAGGTGACCCAATTCTGAAATCCAAGACGACATGGGTTCAAAAGCAATCAACTCAGGTCTCACTCATTGAACATATGTTTTTCTTAGATATATGGCTTTTGAAACTAAGTGTTGCTTCGACTGGGCATCCCCACGCTGGGATGTCACGGAAGAACCCAGCGCGGCGCAGCAAATGGCAGAAGAGCACGGTGTCTCCGCACAGCAAAAAGTCGGGACGAGATGCCTTAGCTGGGGCGACCTGGATCATCGACTACTGATCAATCAGAAAGAACCACATGGTCATGGTCACATTTCAGGAATGGAGAAACGCTAGAACGGCCAAATCAACATCTGTCAATCAGCTATGACAATCATATCGTCGCCACAAGCTAAACCAGAACAACAATAAAACAAAATAAAAACATGTAAAACCAACCACATATTGTTACATCTTGATGAACATGGGAAGACCTCGCTCAAAACCCACGGAAGTCACAGAAGGCCCCTTCAACCAGCCACTCTAATACCAGCAACCTACCAAACATGCACACCTCTGGAACGTGCCAACGAGCCGGCGACACCTGACCGACCTGGTGCTGCCCAAGTGACGTCCGGATCGGGATGTCCCTGGATGGCCTTCATCAAGCCCATGGCTTCGGAGTCCATGTCCGCCACCTGACGAGTCCGTGTCGCGCTCCAACGTCGGACGCGACCGGGGTCGAGCGGAACGAGACGTGAGACGTGAGACGTCGGTCAACGCCCGTGCCACGAGGGTCCAACGCGCAGAACTTCGACAGAGTCAACCGAGTGAGACGCACCTGCAATGCTTCATCACCCTCCAATGGCCACCTGGGCTGCAAAAGCGGTGCGGTGCTGGATCAACGGTAGACCATCTAGCGTCACACTCATATCGAACCCGAAAAAAAATGTTTGCCAGCGATAATCCATGCTAATCCATTCTCATGCCACCTTCCAGGAAAAAACAACAGGGGCAACAACCAACGACACAGGCGCACCGAAATGTACCCACAGACGCCTGGTCATCCACGCCCGAAACCAATCCTTGGCCACGTCATTCTCGCACGCGCTCGGCAGTCCTGCCCCCGCCGTCCGCAGTGGGTTGGAAGAGCGGAGCCGACGGAGCCAACGGAGCCGAGCGTCGACGGGACCGGACGACCCGGACCTTGGCAGGCGTAGAAGGCACCGGCGAAGATGGGCCGCAAGGAGACGCTCAAGGCCTTGGAAAGCCGCGAAATCCGACAGGGAGGAATTGGATCCAAGAGTGTATTGTAAATGTGCACCTATAAGATCTATAATATATATGGTGATTGAGAAAGAACATATAAATGTGGTATATAGAAAATATGGGATGAGAGAACTTTTGTTCAAACTCAGAAAGATGAGCCGGTCCTCTTCAGTCTTCAATTTTTGTCGAGGTAATGACTTAGAGATGAATCCTGGAAAGGTTCTGGTCGACATGTCGAGTCAGATTTTCACTCGCGTCCACCAGTCTACCCGACCCAAATCGGGAGCTCCAGCCATGGCCGCGGAGCTGATGCATTGCCAGACCTGATGGAGAAAAGAACGGAACGGCGAACGGCGACGGCTTCTGTGCAGGACAAAGAGAATTAACGTGGTCTAGAACTTTCGAGAGAGGATTCAATGAGCGGCTTTGGTGAAAGTGGAACACCATTTACAAGTATGAGGTTTTGTGAGAATCTTTTCAATGATGCACTGTTTTCATGCACGTTCATTGCATGCGATCCTCGCACCCACAAGGGCCAACGAACTTCCCTGGGGCCACAGCGGTGTTGGCAAAGGGCGCATGCTCGCCTGGGTCGCCGATGTAGATCGGGTCCAACCGAACTTGTGAGACCCACACCACAACCAGAACCTGAGAGCTTCCCTTGATCTGCTATGAAGTAGGTGCAACCAGGAATGCTCTGCCCAGACATGGGTCTGTTAGTATCTATAGTATCTCTACCCCCTCAATTTATAGAATCATACATAGTTCTTCAAACCTTGATGGCCAATTTCTCAGGACGCTTCATTCTCAATTTACCTTGAAAATACCATTCTGCCCATGCGCTGTCCAGCCACCACCATCAAACAGGTGGCTTCTTCGCCGTCCAGGCACCGATGAACAGCATCACCAACGCTGCCCCATCGCCGCGCGCCCAGCGCTGCGCGCGCGCAGGGCCCGCGGGCCAGCAGCCCTGTCACGGGTCAGCGGTCACCGCTGTCAGCGGACACGTGAAAATCGAAAAAGGGTTGCTGCTTTTTTGGTGCCAAGTGCCATTATATGCTAGAACTGGGTTAGTTACATGACCTACTATGCTGCGTTCTGTCTATCTTCCCCCCAAAAAATGCCAGAAACACCATGCATCCACTTTTCACCACGTATGCCCTCTTTTCATCTCTTTTCTCCGCCTGGTGGAGCAATGGATCACAGGGCTGCCAACGCCGCGCCAAGTCCAAGGCCGTTGGCCTTGGGCGAATGCGACGGGGCATAGCACGCCGTAGACTCATCGCCAGTGGACGCAGCAGCTGGTGAAGGTCTGGCTTTGTTCCATTGTTCCATTGAAGTTCCTGGAATTACTTCCAAAGAAAAGCGAGTGACTATCTTAGACTCCATTGTTATGATTCGACTTCAAAGTCGTTTAAAAGAACATATAAAACTTTAGAAACCGTGGACCTGGCGTTGGTACGGTTTAAGTACAAATCAACTGAGTCGTCAACGGCGTCTCTGCCACTGCCGGCGGAGGTGTGCCGGTGATCACTTCCTCGAGGGTAGACTCTGGGCCACTGGGGCTGTCCAAATCTTTGATGAGACACTTTACGAGTAGCTTCTTGCTACGTACTAGTGGCGATGGCCTCCAACCTAACAGCGATGGCCTCCACCTAGTAGCTTCTTGCTCCCAAGAGAAAAAGACATGCCCAACACGAACCGGGGAACCTGTGAGATTTGCTAAGCCAAGCATATTTGCCCAAGCATGGCACCTCAGTCTTCAGAAAGAGCTCCTTGATCTTTCCAGGCAAGTTCGCTGGCCACACGCTGCTGGAGACCAAGTCCAAGGTTGAATGATCACCTCGAATCGATGGGCTTTTGGCTTTTGATGGAAGTGGTGTGGTGGAGCATCTGGTCCACGCTGTTGGACAGCCGGTCTGGTATGGACAGCTGGTCTTCTTCGTTTCAGACTCCGGCTGTCCATGGACCTTCAGCTCCAGTGCTGGCTTGGAACTTCGGCTCCAAGGACGATCCTGCCGAGAGGCCCAGCAAGGATCGTGCGTAGTGGAGGCTCACGAAGATGTACTGGGCAAGAAACCACGAAAAAAGCGGTGCCACTTAAGCTGGGCAAGAAGCCTTTTGACGTTCAATCAGTCTTAAAGGCATCCAATCCTAATGCAGTTCGCAAGAAAGACAAGAACGAAGAAAGGTTGAAGCCAGTGCTGCTCAATGTTCAGATTCTCATATAAGCGCAAAGTAAGTTCTAGCACTCCACCAGATTCTCAAAGTAATTATAGCACAGTGGAAAACTCATTCAGATTGGCGATTCCACCTATGATTACGCATGAGTTTTCTTAAAAGTGCGCACTCTGAGTCGAGCGACCTCTATACCTCATCATCTACTTCTACTGCCACTGCACCAAGGCCTAGGCCGACATGTCGTTCTCACCGGCTCGCTCGTGTCGGTCTCGGCGCCTGAAGGCTTTGTTCCGCTTCGGCCTCCGAAGGCTCGGCGGCCGAGTTCATGAGCCAGGCCAACTCGTTGAAGGCCAAGAGGAAGAGCACGGTGATGCAGCCGTACAAGCAGAACGCATGGCCTCGCACGGTCTGGGAGTGAAGTCTTTGTGCGGCAAAAGGCGGGAGGGCCACATATAGCGGAGAAACATAAACCCTGGAAGTAAAAGACAAGTTTTAACGATTTGGTTTGGTAGTGTAAAATCCTTCGTAAAACCATGGTTGTTCAGCAAAGGCTATTTAAAACATGGTGGTTCGACTTCTGTCAGACAAAGCGAGACAGGAGCTCCTGCTCTCGGTCGAACATATATTAACATTCAGCATTCAGATGCATTCAGATGCATTCAATATATCCCATACACTCCATGTATGGAATATAATATGCCTACATTGACCCCCAAACCACCCTAATGTGTACCGGTATACTTGCTATACCCTTTGGAGTGTCAGACCCAGGGAAGCTGCACTGCCCGTGACCTCCTTAAACCGGCCCTAGCCGACACCGGCCTTCTTTCACCGTGACCTCATAGGAGGCATTGATCCACCATCCTAACAAAGGCTGGAACGACCGGACGACCGACGAGGAGACGAGACGATCGTTCGTCCCACTTTCGTCCCCTGGTCCCAACTGAGTCGACTGGGAGTGGGCCCCAAAACGACCGAAGTACACGTGGTTTTTCGGTCTGGTCTTGGTGTTGTTCTTGTTCACTTTTAATTCCCCCATGTATGAGGACAGTCTTATAAGGATTAGTCTCAGGTTAGGAATTAATATTAGCATCAGCAACAAAAGGATCTCAAAAAGCTGGCTCATGTTCGTTTCAGGTCTTGTACAAACTCTGTCTTTTGAGGTTTATATCTGTTTTCCTCTTGAAAGTCATCTTTTCAGGTCATCTTTTGGGGTTTGGGGACGACAGGATCCTGAGGAGTCCACGACCCGATTCGGGTCAAACCAGCCAGTGCATCGACGCGAGCTTCCGAGCGTCTTAAGGAGTCCATGGCTTCATAGTCGGCCTCCGGCTTTTCGCCTGGCCGCTCAAGCGCAGCCGCCCGCTGGAGCGCAGCTCGGTGTTGGAAGGGAACCGCTTCTGAATTGAGGTGTCGAATGGCTTTGGCGTTCATTTGGGAATGATGGAACCAAAGCATCTGCCGATGGCTGCATTTTAAAAGGGTTCGAGACCCGCCAGGCCGGACCACAAAAAGCAAAAGACATGACATGAAAACAAAAACACCCGCAGCCTGTCCATGCCAAGAGGGATGCAACATCCTGCCATCAGAGGCGTTTGGTTTCGTTCGGCCGTTTTGTATTCGACGTCGCCCACCGTTTCGCTCATGACCTGTTGTTTCCTTCGCGGCCCATTTTTTCACGTGGGTTTCACGCAGTCCTTCCTGGCTTGGCAGGATGGCTCCAGCTCCTGGTTTCGAGATCTGAAGCACATCCGTGGCCTTCCTTCGAACCCCCTCGAAGGAAGAGGGTGTAGAAGCCCTTCACAGAAGAATTCAATATCTGCTCAAATATCGTGTATTGAACAATCTGCCAGTCTTTTTCTACCCTGATTCGTTGTACAACCAGTGTGTGAGGAATTGTCCAACTCTCCATGTGCTTATGCCTTATGCTAGTCTGGACCCAAACGGGGGCAAAACTGCTGTCTCAATCCCTTCACGCTGGGCCAATGACCACGGTGCTGGGCCGATACTGGGCCAAAGAAGTCTCATGCAGGTGAGACTTAACTGGTCCAGCATGAGAACACCTCTCTCTGTTTTCAGAAAACGTGCCGTCATCTCCTCGATCAACTTCACGATGGGAGGAGGAAGTGGCCGGATTTGCCTCAGTCACTTTAAACAAAGGAGAGAAGAAGTGAGCCAGTTGCCCCAGTTGGCCAACACCCTCCCATCCTCTCATGTTCCTTCCTCAGTTCCTCAGTTCCTCATCCCAATCAGCTTGCCAGAGGTACTCCGGAAGTCCACTGAGCAGTGCCAACTCGGACCACTGTGGCGCAAAGGCCGCGCCACGGCAGTCCAACCAGTCCACCGCGGTCACGGCGGTACGCACCGTCGATGCCAGAAGGCCTCGAGCGATCCGAGGCCTGGTGAACGTCTGGTGAATATTTCTTCCCCAAAAAAAGAGGGGAGCGGAAATGGGTATCTGGGAGTCATTCACAAGAATTGTGTGTGTGTGTGTTTTTTTCTTTACTTGTGGGTGGTAGATGGTCGTAGGTATGTTCAAAGGATCCATCTGGAATCTGGATATGACATGAATGGATGGTTGATCAGGATGGTTGATCACGGCAGCCCCGGCGACACCGCCTCGTGTCACCGAGCTTCGGAAAGAAAATTCCGGATGGTCTTCAACAACTCTGAGGCTGACGAACGTCCGTGACGAAAAGGATTCCGGGCATGAGGATGGCCGGATCATGCTGGGTTTCCTTTGGAATCCAAAACGCGATGGGCCGGTTCCATCGGTTTGCTTTTCGCGTGGGTCTGTGGCCTCGGTGGGTTCGTTTGAACGAACACACCCTGCTTCTCGCCGCTCTCGCCCCCCCCCTCCGCGGTCGGTGGCCGTCGGGCGGCCTGGAGGATGTGTGACCAAAAGGATGGCCGTCCATATCGCTCCACCCAGGCCACCCCGTGTGATCGCATCCATGCGACCAGCTGTGACGTTTAAGAGTGCTCGGGGACACTGGAAGCCATGACCGGATGGAGACAACTGGAAGTGAAACCTAACTTAGCTGGCTTTGATCATGGGTCTGGTTTCCATGATTGAACCAAATCCAGCTGCAGGAACGATCCAAGTGTTTCACACTCCGCGGCCGGATCATGCGTACCCTTCAGTTTCAGACATGCTCAGACAGAAGCGAGGTTCCGCAAGCCTACGACGTTCTGCCTACGATGCCGACTTGGGTCGCGTGCCTCGACTTTGGCAGAAACACCCATGCCTCAAGCTCGTTCCCTATCCCAATCTTGTTATTTATGAATATGACGTCACTTCACAGCTAAGAGAATGTGATGCATAGCGGACAAACACCTTTTTCCCCATTACAACTTGAGGCTTCTTTCTTCAAGTTCCCGCTCCTTGGTGGCCGAAGTGGCAACCGGCGTTCGCGTTCGCGACTCGACCGCGAGGGTAGTGGGACGCAAAGAAAGTGGACTCTTGAGGGGAAAGAGGTCGATCTTTTTTGCAAGAACTTTCTAAGGGCATCCCATAGGAAAGGCATCAGAAAGGCATGATATCTGCTCAAGAATACCTGTTCTTGCTCATGGCACCCGCCCCCGCCAAAAAATACTGAGATTCCCAAATGATCGCAAACATATAAAAAAGACAAAAGGAATCTGATCAATTCAGATCCCCACTGAGTTTGTGCTTTTTGAGTTTGGACCCCAAGGCCTCACATCGATTCTGGGACCTTTCGCCGTGGTGGGGGTTCTGAGCTCAGATCCAGCAGGGGGTTCTGCACCTTGATGCTGATCACCAGCTCCTGCGGTGCCACACGGTGCAGCGACCGGCGACGACCGGTGACGACCGGCGAGGACGTCCAGTGACGTGTCTGTTGGGCCAAAACGAGCAATCGCTCGGCTCGGTGGAGGCTTGGTCTACGAGCGGCTCGGCAGGCATCTGAGAGGCTCTACGTCCGATCTTCTCATTTCGAAAAAGGTCTGAAAGAGTCTTGGTCCTGAAAGGGGCCAAGACTAAAGTCAGCCATCAGAAGTGGCCCATAAATCAGAAATCACTCGACCCATCAGCCAAGGATATGAAGTCTGAAGCGCACACGGTGCGAGCCTGCTTGTCCTCCAGTTGTTCTTCGATTTTACAGAACTCCGGCCTCAGTTCGACTGAGGCAATGTGCCAAATCCGAAGAGCTGCAAATTCGCTGGCAGAAACTTCGCTTCTTTCCCTGAAGAAACTTCGCTGCTGCCTGTCATGCTCTGCAGAAGCGTTCTTTTGGTTAAATCTGGGACCTAAACTGGAACGAACTCCAAAGGAGAGAGGGAGGGAGCGAGAGAGAGAGAGAGAGAGAAAGATTCCTCCTTCGTTCTCTCGAAGTTACGGCGATTTTTCAGGGAAGACCTATACTCCTGTCACAACGCTGAGCTTCCCACAGGCCTTTGGCCGAGTTCCCATCCAGCTCGGTTCGACTCGGGCCCTGAGGACCATGGACGCGACGACGCGCGGCTGGAGCCCTGGGTGGTATGGTGGGCACTTGTCGCTGAGGGTGGCCTGGGACTGCTGGACTGCTGGATGGAAGATAAGGAAAGATGATCCACTTCGGTGGAAGAATCACGTGCTGCAGGCACACATCGAACGAATGGAACATCGAACAGCCCATCCTCTACCACAGAGTGGCATCGAACGCATCCATGTTTGCCATCATAGTCAAGTAAGCATGGTAAGCAAACCTGAAATCACCTGTGTCTTAAGTATAATTACCTGATTATCATTCAAATTTAAAGCAACATGTTTGTTCCTGCCTATATATAGTTCCACTGTGAACTTGACTTCGCAGGGTTGCGTGCACCGGAAACCTCCAGGGGCACCCGTCCTCACTTGGGGTCGATCCTTCGGACCGTCGGACCGTCGGTCTCCGGGGCATCCGGGCGCGGGTGGCCGAGCCCACGCTGAGCGTCAAGTTCAAGCTGTACTTGCCGCCCGGGCTCCTCCGACCGGAGACCGGTGGAGCTATCGACGTGACGGTGTGGGCCTAAGGCGCTCAGCAAAAGCACAGCTTGAGAGCTCCGGAAATCGCCCGTTTTCGGGGAAACGGTGCCCGAAGCAGTGCGAAGGAGCGGAGCTGGGGAGCTGGGTGGTCTGGTGTTCTTCGCCCGGCTTCTCCTCACATAGAGGCCACAGTAGCCACTCTTGCTTCCTTCCAGGCCGTTGGGATAGAACCTGAGATCCCAAGTTCAAGATCAAAATGACTGGGGGAACTCAGTCACCAAAGTCCCCAATATTCTTTGAAGAATTCCGTCTGATCACGGAGAAGAACCATGAGAACATGCATGTCTTTCAATCGGGATCCACCTGGTGGTTTTGGCTCACCAGGCGTTGCTTGATCGCGGCTCAGCCGCTCCATGTGCATGTTCCGCACGGCGGCCACGGAGAAGGAGGGGCTGCACACGTACTGTCCGCGCGGCACCTGAAGGAACGCAACGCGGCACCGACCGCGGTCGCAGAACCGGGTGGGTGTCCTATAGGAGTTGGAGTTGGAGTCGAGTCGAGCGAAATGGGATGGGTTGAAACAGGGGGAGGTTGACATTGTTGTTGAAAATGTCGATCGGAAACATTTGGAAACCACTGGCTTATAGGAGGCAAATTATGTTTCAAAGCAGTTCAGATCATGCGCTCTCAGAAAAATTGCCTTGACACTCACTCGAATCACTCTGTTTCTCTGCACATCTATGCAATGTATGTTTTTGTTTGGGGGATTGCATCTCTTCACAAGCTACTAGTCAACCACTCACCATGTGTCAAACACCTGTGTCAGCTTCTGCACCTTTCACTCACCTTTCAGCACCTTGATCGTTGGGACGTTTCAGAGCGACCCAGATTGGCCGAACTCAGAGAGACCTAAGTGAGTGTTGTCCACCTACAGTATCTCCAAGTCACATCACCCTAAACCCTGCTTGGTGTCTTTCTCCAAGTCACATCTCGCATCTTCTGCAGGATGTTGTGGATCGTCCATTCCACCTCGCCACGACGTCTTGGGCTCCGCTCCAACCGCGCGCACGCCGCTGCGGCAGGGCACGCGGACGTTTGGGTGAGAACGGAGAAGGGTTGGTCCCAAAAAGACGCGCTTGCGCAGGCGACCAAGGGCTGGGCAGCGGCGGCACCGCGCGCGCTGCAGGGAGTCGACGGTGGAACTGTGAAAACCCGGAGATGGGGAGTTCCGAAGGGAGTTCCCAAAGAGAACCCCGGTGCCGCGTTGGCATCGAGCGGTGGCCACCGCCTGTCACCAACAGAAGCCTCCAAGAAAGACGCGCCAAGAAGCTGTTTGGTGCAGCAACCAACGAAACCGGTGCAACCAACCCACCGAAGAGAGGCCGTGGCGGTGCCTTGGCATTCCATCCCCCGTCTGAGGTGCCCGATCCGAATCCAAGTCCCGGTTCCTCAGCACCGAGGCCTCGCTGTGCGGCTGTTCCCGTTCGGTTTCGGTCCGATGCTTCGATGCATATCATGAATCAAAGCATAATCAAAGCAACATCATACATGCATGATCTTACAATGGATACATGCAATGATCATCAATGATCTCAGTTTATGTTCGATGCCGCCGTCATCTTCTGTTAAGTTGCTTGGGGACCGTCGTTCGTTGTTTCGGGGGAATTAGCGCAGAAGAAGTGTTTTTGACCCTTGCGGATCTCTGAAGAATTGGTTGTTCAGAACTAAGAGAGGGTATAAAGCACGTCTTGTTTTTTGCGTTGTTAGTGGCAACATACGAGACCCAAAGGACTATTTCATAGGTTTGTTTGTCTCGTGAGTGGTGAGTGAACGGCCATGGTAAAAGCTTTGTAGACGTTGTAAACCTTTGTAAGTTTGTTTGTAATTCAACAACTCTGTCAACTCTCTGCAAAAGTTGCAAACTTTGTGCAAATTCTCAAGACTTTGTGAAAGTTTTGTAAACTTTGTATAACTTTGTAAAAATAAAAACTTTGTAACCGTTTTGCAAAGTTTGCGAATTTTACGTCTTAATAAAGTTTTACCAAGTTCTTACAAAGTTTTACAAGTTTAAGGTTGACACAGCTTACAAAGTTTGACAAAGTTTAAACATATTTTACAAAGTCTACAAAGTGTTGACAAAGTTTACCAAGTTTATACCAAGTTCACTACGTTTTTACAAAGCTTTCAAAGTTGGTACAAAGTTTTCAAAGTTTTACACAGATTTTATGAAGTTTGCAAAGTTTTACAACCGTTTACCAAGTTTACAAAGTTTTACAAAGTTTACAATATTTTAACACAGTTTACAAAGTTTTGAACAATTTCCAAAGCTTACCCAGTTTACAAAGGTTTTACCATTAAAAAAGACGTATTGAAAGTTTTACAATGTTGCTGCAATGTTGACAAAGTTTTTGCAAAGTTTACACAGTTTTGCAAAGTATTGAAAGTTTACAAAGCTTGTACAAAGTTTATACTTTTTACAAAGATTGCAAATTTTACAATGTTACATGGAGTTTTTACAAAGTGTACAAACATTTGCAAACTTTACACAGTATTTACATAGTTTACAAAGCTTTCACAAAATTTGCAAAGTTTATACAGTTTACACAGTTTTTGCACAGTATTGCAAGTTTACAACGATTTTACAAAGCTTTGGAATTTGACAAAGTTCTTGCAAAGTTCGGAATTTACACAGTTTTTCAATTTTTACAGAGTCTACAAAGTCTCACAAAGTGTTTACAACGTTTTCAAAGTTTTTACAAAGTTTACAAAGTTGTACAACGTTTTTACAAAGTTTACAACAGCTTTTTCAAGTTTACAAAGTTTTTACAACGTTTACAAAGTTTTGACAAAGTTTACAAAGTTTTTACAAAGTTTACAAAGTTTTTACACAGTTTACAAGGTTTTTACAAAGTTTACAAAAGTTTTTCATGCTTGCAAAGTTTTTACAAAGTTTACAAAGTTTTTACAACGTTTACAAAGTTTTTACAAAGTTTGCAAATGGCTGGTGAAAAACACTTATGTTTACAACAAAAGACATGAAAAAACACTTCTTTTTTAAGCAAAAAATCGTGCAAAAAACACTTCTTTCACAGAACTTTACAAAGTTTTACAACGTTTTTACAAAGTTTACATAGTTTACACAGTTTTTACAAAGTTTACAAAGTTTTTACAACGTTTGCAACGTTCTGACAAAGTTTGCGACATTTGCCTTTTGTTACAAATTTACAAAGCTTTTACAAAGTTTACAAAGTTTTGAAGATTTTGGAAAGTTCACAAAGATTTTGCCAGGTTTACGAAGTTTTGCAAAGTTTACAGAGTTTCGACAAAGTTTACAAAGTTTTGACAACGATTATATACAAAGTTTTGATAGTTTATTTATTTGCAAAGTTTACAAAGTTTCTTTCTACATTTTACAAAGTCTTTACAAAGTTTGTACAGTTTCACAATTTGTACAAAGTTTTTAGGAAATTTACAAAGTTTTCACAACGTTCACAAGGTCTTTCAAAATGTTTACAATGCTTTGACAAAGTTTACGAAGTTTAAAAACGTTTTACAAAGTTTGCAAAGTGCTACGGAGTTTATAACGGTCTTTTTTAAAATAGAGTTTACGAAGGCCTACAACATCTAAAAGTTGTTTACAAAGTTTACAAAATGTTAGTACAAAGTGTACAAAGTTTGCAATGTTTACAAACTTTTTGACAAAGTTCACAAAGTTTTGACAAAGTTTACAAGTGTTTACAAAGTTTTGACAATGTTTTCGCATTTTACAGATTTTTACACAAAGTTTTCGCAGTTTTCTACACAGTTTTACAAAGTGTACAAAGTTTTTACAAAGGTTTACGAAGTTTAAAGTGTTTCAGTGCTTAAACAGTTTACAATGTTAACAACAGTTTACGCAGTTTTGACAAAGTTTGCAAAGTTTTTTCAATCTTTACACAGTTGTTGCAGAGTTTTGAAAGTTTACAAAGTTTTAGAATTTCGCCAAAGTTTCTACAAAGCTTACACAGCTTTTACAAAGTTTACATTTATTTACAAAGTTTACAAAGTTCTTACAAAGTTTACAACGTTTTGCAAAGTTTTCCAATAATAAAGTTTACACAGTTTTGACACAGATAGAAAAAAACGAAACTTTGTATAGAAAGTTTGTAAGCATCAAAAACTTTTGTAAAAGCTTTGTAAAAACTTTCAAACTCAATAACTTGGTAACAACTTTGTAAACTTCCAAAACTTGTTCAAAGCTTGATAAATGTCCAAAGCTTTGTTCAGATATCTAAAGGTTCAATACTTTGTAAAAACTTCGTAGTTCCAAAGTTTTGTAAAATTCAATGTACTGTAAGTTTCCAAAACTTTGTGAAGTTTGTTATTTCTATTTTTAAACTTTGTAGGCTTTGTTAAAACTTTGTAATGCAAAAACTCGGTAAAAGTTGTAATTCCAAAACTTTGTCAATTTTTTGTAAAGATCCAAAACTTTGTAAAAACACTTTGTAGGAAGTTTGTTTGAAGACCTGCGAAAGCTGTTCAAGAAGAGCTGATCTTTGGATCAGTGAGACTGCTTGCATTTTTTTGTTAAAAAAACTGCATTTGGTGCTTGCGCTTTGGGAATTTGTGACTGAAGGCTGTAGTGTTTCAGGGTATTGAGGGTGAGAAGAAGGGTCGAATGGTTATTGGTTGTGCAAGTGTTTTAAGACTTGGCCACGGAAACACCAAAACACTTCTTTCATTTTT